AAGATCTTTGAGAACGGCCGCTTGAGTCACTTTGTGGATGGAAGAGGTGCTCCAGGGAGCTGGATGTCTCTGGTGAAGTGCGCGCGCTTTCCCGAGGAGCAGAACCTGATTGCGGTCCAGTGTGAAGGACAGATATACTACGAGGCCTGCAAAGAGACCCGAGCCGGCCAAGAACTGTTGGTCTGGTATGGAGACTGCTATGTGCAGTTTTTGGGTATTCCTCTCACCCTCAAAGAGTTTATTGATGACACTGAACTGCTACCAACTGAAGGTATGTGCGTAATGCAAATGTATCATATTATATAATTCTTTAGATAGATATTTATAGCTCAATATGTTCTGTTGTTTTTATAGAAAGATTATAATATGTTCAGGTGTGTTTGCAAACTGCTCAAATTCCTGTGTTTCCTCGTTACAGACTCTGGAGAGGGTTTCAAGTGTGATCGCTGTGGTAAAGTGTTTGCTTACAAGTACTACAGAGACAAACACCTGAAATACACGCGCTGCGTGGATCAGGGCGACAGGAAGTTCCCCTGCCACCTCTGCAATAGGTCTTTCGAGAAGAGAGACCGGCTCCGCATCCACATTCTCCATGTGCATGAAAAACACAGACCACATAAGGTAAATATATCTTCATTCTGATTCATTGAAGACTTCTTTTTTTGCTGAAAGAACAGCTCCCTTTTAGAAAAGCTGCACAAAACCGGAGCCTAAAAGGGAAAACATTGCAATTTTACTAATATTCTCATACTCAACGTATTTAAAATTGTTTGATTAATAATTTGTATTTATATGCACGTATAAGGGTCTTTCAACGAAATGGATGCCTTTTCCATTTTGGAACGATGATTTATATTTATGTTTTTTATGTATTTATTTAAAAAAATTATAGCATCATTTTAATAAAAGGGGTTCGAAATGGCAGGAACTGACACATAAGATGAGAATACAATTTTTGTCAAATGTGAAAAAATATATTATGTCCAAATAATTTTAGATTTTATTTCCTTTTTTCAATCCAAATATAATTATAATTGCTATAACAGCCGAAAACAAATAAATAACATTTATTTTATTTTTGCCAGCCATAACACTGATGTTAATCACTTGTTACACATAATAATGAGGGACACAAAAGCACCCATTTCGAGAAATGACCCGGATGCGTTAACGAAAAGCTTTTAACCATGCCGATACAGCATCTTGAGTCTTGAATGTAATTTGTGTCCCTCTTTTTCCTCTTAGTGCTCCGTGTGCGGCAAAAGTTTCTCGCAGTCCTCCAGTCTAAACAAACACATGCGCGTGCACTCGGGAGAGCGGCCTTACAAATGTGTTTACTGTAACAAGGTGAGTAATGCTTATTCACATGGATTCCAATAAAGTATACTGCTTTAAGGATTTGACTAATTTCACGGTGCATCTGAGCGCTCATTAGCGCTGGACGCACTCTTAGAAGACACTTACGTGCCAACTAATGGCAGATGCGCCTCCAGTGCATTGTGCATGAGGATTATGCTTTAATTTGTGACACTCAAAGAGACAAAAGTTTGTTTGTCGCTTTGTTGTAACTCGTCTCCTTCTATTCTTAAAAGGTGAGTTACGCGTGCGTTAAGAGCCTTTCAGTGGTCGTGCCACTCTTTCTGTCTTGTTTGTGGACTGCCAGAGACAGTTTTATTCCTAGTAGCCTGTGGACCCATTGTATGTGAGTCAGGTTTACCTATATAGGGGCCAACAGAATAAACATACTAAATAATAGCTTAATAAAAATATTAAAAAAAAAATCGGGAAGGGTTATATAATGGTTAGGTTTAGGTGAGGGTTTTTATTGTCATTTATTATCATTTATTATTATTATTATTATTATTATTAGTTGTTGTTGTTGTTTTATAGGCCTAGAATATTAATACTATTAATAATAAAAATAGAGTAATATACAATATGTCAACAGGATGTCCACATTTAGATATTAAAGTAGTGTGTATATTACCATTATTGAATATGAACAAGTATTTTTTGAATGTCACAGGCGTTCACGGCCTCCAGCATCCTCCGCACGCACATCCGCCAGCACTCCGGCGAGCGGCCG